AGAAATGAAGGAAAGAAGGAAGGAAAGAAAGAGGGAGGGAGGAAAGAAAAGGAAAGAGGAAAAAAGGAAGGAGGGTGGGAAGGAAGGAGGGAGGGAAGGAAAGAACAAAAAAAGAAAGAAAGAGGAAGGGAGGGAGGAAAGGAAAGGAAGGAAAAAAGGAGAGAGGGAGGTAAGGAAGGAGGGAAGGAAGTAAAGAAAAAGAAAGAAAGAAAGAAAGAAGGGAGGGAGGAGGGAAGGAAAGAAAAAGAGAAAGAATGAGGGAGGGAAGGAAAAAAAGAGAAAGAAGGAGGGAGGGAAGGAAGAATGGAAGTAAAAAGAAGGAAAGAAAGAAAAAAGGAAAGAGAAAGAAGGAGGGAGGGAAGGAAAGAAAGGAAAAAAGGAAGGAGGGAGGGAAGGAGAGAGGGAAGAAATGAAGGAAAGAAGGAAGGAAAAAAAGAAAGAAAGAGGGAGGAAGGAAAGAAAAGGAAAGAGGAAAAAAGGAAGGAGGGTGGGAAGGAAGGAGGGAGGGAGGGAAGGAAAGAACAAAAAAAAGAAAAAAGAGGGAGGAAAGGAAAGGAAGGAAAAAAGGAGAGAGGTAAGGAAGGAGGGAGGGAAGGAAGTAAAGAAAGAAAGAAAGAAAGGAGGAGGGAAGGAAACAAAAAGAGAAGGAAGGAGGGAGGGAAGGAAGAATGGAAGGAAAAAAGAAGGAAAGAAAGAAAAAAGGAAAGAGAAAAAAAGGAGGGAGGGAAGGAAAGAAAAAAGAAAGAGAAAGAGAGAAGGAGGGAGGGAAGGATAGAAGAAAGAAAGAATTGGACAGTTGGAAGGGCCCTCTAAGATAACCAAACACAATCCTCTCCAGACAGACTGTTTCACTGTTATATGTCTCTTATTAATAGGCATGCTTCACATTCTTTATCCATGAATTAGGGTTATTAATACTATGTGACCAGAAATCCTTCTCCACTACCTTCTGCTTCATAGACCTGTTGCAAATTTCTCTCCTCTGGAACAAAATTAGGCATGATAAGTTATAATGGAGATGTCACTGGTTTGCAGATCCAATTATGAATTCCATAACTTTCCCAGGATGCTTTGGCCCAAAATGCATTTCAGATCAATATTGCTGTTATTTGGCATATTGAAGAAAGGTACGGGGAGTTTTCCCTAGAGTAAAAATAAATTTTGTAGCATTTATATGCCATCTACCACACTGTCAGGAGACTCTGGGTAGCTTACATCCGAAGGGATTGTCTAGATCAGTGTTTTTCAACCACTGTGCCGCGGCACACGAGTGTGCCGTGACATAGTGTAAGGTGTGCCGTGGGAAAATAGCAATAGCAATAGCAGTGGACTTATATACCGCTTCATAGGCCTTTCAGGTCTCTCTAAGCGGTTTACAGAGAGTCAGCATATTGCCCCCAACAATCTGGGTCCTCATTTTACCCACCTCGGAAGGATGGAAGG